CCGCTCACTGGTTGAGCGCGGTGCGGGCGCGACACCGAGGGTTGCGATCCCATTACCGGTCGCTGTACAGGCGCGACACTGAGGGTTGCAATCCCGTTACCGGTCACGAAAAAAGACACACACACAAAAAAAAAACAAAAAAAAAACACCTCTTCTTCCTCCCTCCCTCACTTGCCATAACGAGAAAGAAAGGTATATACTGAAGCTTCTGTTGCTGTTGTTGAATAAAAACTTACGAGGGTACTTCAAAAAGTTTGTGGAAAAATAGAATTAAAAGATAACACAAATATTTCCAAGAACTTTTTGAAGTACCCTTCTGTATGCCCTGCTCTTAAATTTTTAAAAATATTCTCACTGGGGGCCGGCCCGGTGGCGCACTGCTATAGTGCGCCGCTTGGGAAGCGCGGCGTCGCTCCCGCCGAGGGTTCAGATCCCACATACAGACCGGTTCCCGCTCACTGGCTGAGCGAGGCGCGGGAGCAACACTGAGGGCTGCGATCCCGGTCCGGTACGGGGGCGACACTGAGGGTTGCGATCTGTTGCCGACATGGAAAAAGACCAAAAAAATATATATATATATTCTCACTGTTTTAATATATGAATACATTATAATCTATAAAAATGCTAGATCTTTAAAAAATATTAATCTCTTGTACTAATATATAAGAAATTCTTATAAAACTTCAAATACTACACTATAAAGCTGAACACAGCGTGAATGTCCTTTCTAGCCCACTGCATCGCCACTCCCGTGCAGTTGGGTGTGTATCACGCCAATCCTCTTCACATGCTCTGTATGCATGAGAAAGCATTCATGGAAACCTGACAGCATGCACTATTTCTCCACGTGTTGACAAAGCTATTTCGAAGGACCAAACTGTATCAACCCTCTCTTCAATACCAAGCAATACATATATTAAAAAATCCTGACTCGCACCTAAGTCTCTACCCACACATCTCTTGTCAGAGCCTCACGCCAAGGGTTGAGGGATGAGGGATGACATGAGATGCAAGCACAGGGTTGGGAAGGAACAGGCTGAGAGTGACCAGCTGTCCCAGCTTGGCCAGAACTGTGCGGCTTCCTAGGACGCAGGACTTGTAAGTGCTGTAACTGGGCAGTCCTGGGCAAACTGAGACAGTTGGTCGCTGTACTTGTTTTATAAATGAGCTTTTAAAAAAAAATTACAGTGATGTAGCAAGAAATAAAGTAAGCCTATGGGATGATTGTGAGAGATGGGTGAAGGTCATGGCACAGGGGCAGGTAGCATATCACATGGGAGGCCACAGAGTGCACAATGGGTTCAGGTCAGAGGGCTTCTATCTAAATTCGAGGTTTAGCCCTTACTCACTGTGTGAACTTGGGTATATGATTAATTTCTATGTACGTCAATTCCGTGTATAAAACAGAGGTAAATAACAGTAACAATTCAATGTGATCGCTTTGAGAATTAAATGAGATGTTGAATGTAGAAGTTAACATACTGTAAGTATTCAATAAACGAATTAATCACTTTTTAAACATGGAGAGTTTAATGGCTGATATGTAAGTTATCAAAATGGTATTGGCTCTTCTAGAGAACAGTGTATTTTAAAGGAAAGAGCAAACTTCAGGAATGGAACTCTGAAGAACACTTTTGTCAGTTCAATGACATCACTGAAAATATTTTCCTACCAGGAAATGCTCACATGGAAAAATATGCTTTTCATTATGCAATAATTTCTTTTGAATAAAACAGTAAAACATAAATGTTTCATAATTTTCAAGTCAGTTATGTCACAGTCGTGTCTGCCTTCTGCCATCAATTATTTTCCCTCTTCCACCATCCTAAAAGCATGAATTTTGCTCAGCATGAATGACAGAAACAACTTGTCTGTCTAAAGTATGAATGAATAGAGATGCATCACTTTAAAAAAATGATATTCCCAAATCTAATCCTGCATACAGATAAATCAGGAGGTATACTAAATGTCCAGTCTTATTATAAAATAGATGATAATTTTACACAGGGTGTATTAACAAAGTTTCCATAAAGTACAAGAACCATTAGTAGGGTGATTCACAAACCTGTAGGATGCACAGAATCACCTAGAAGTTTTTTCAAAGTGGATCAATAGCCTTGATGTATCAAAAACATCTGGTAAACACTTCCTTAGTACATTTAACACTAACATAATACGAGTAATTTAGTCATTTATTTTTAGAAACCATTCTACCATGTAAAGGAGGAAGAAATGTATTTACAAATGATCTTTCTTTGGTTTTCTCTTCCGAATTGCTTTCCATCTTCCCTTTGTTAGCCATAAAATGTGAAACGCCTATTGTCACTGTCTATTCAGGTACTGTGAATTTACAAAACTTTAAATGCATCTGCTTTATCTCCACGGTCAGTTCTAGGCACCAAGACTGACTCAGGCCTGAGAAGGCAGGAAGGTATGTCTACTCTGCACATTGACATAGGTTCATGGGCGTCAAAGTGCCCAAATATTGCAAGCTGGCCTGCAGGAACTGAACGACTGTGGAATTAAGAGAATATGCTGAAATAGTAAAAGGAGAACATTTCTTCAGTTTTACCTTCCTAATCTAGAAAAGGATTCATAACGTGATAGCAAAGACCCCACCGTGGTCGCCATGCTATTTAATCATTTATTACAAAGCAGGGACATAGCCCAGTAGTACAATTTAACTTCAGAGGTGGAAGGGGTTTCTTAGTAGCAGTGGCTTAAAATTTCTACACAGGAGGAAATCCAGAGTGACAGTGTGGGTAAAAGGGGGAGTTGGGGGACCCGTCCTGGGTGCCAAGCAAGCAAGCCTTGTTCAGCAGACTGAGTTATCTGAGGTAAACAGCATGGGGCTAGTGAGGGTGGGAGGGTGAGGTAAACACTCTCTGAAGCCATCCCTTTGTGTCTTCACTGGGACTTGGAAATCATCTTCATCTATTTGGTGGTTTCTCATATTAACAGTGTAAGTGGTTAAACACAGTCCAATCAGGCAGAAAACAAGATTAGCTATTCTACAAAATATAGCAGCAATTTATGTATTATTTTCTCCCCTTCTCCCCCTCATAAACTCTTGGAAAAATTAATCTTCAATGAATTCCAGTGTCATTACAATCACCTTTGCAAATGTCCTATTCAGCCTATTCTGTACCTGGATGGCCATGATCATTAAAAATAAAGGTTGTTCTTGCAAAATAAGAATGAAACGGAAAAGAAGTTTTTAACATATAATTTTACACTACTGAAGAAGTCTTTGAAGAGATTTCTTCAAATTTTTAGTGCTATCATAAAGCAACACCAGTTGTTCCTAAGTAATCATACAGGATTTGGGTCCTATGAAACAAAATTTCATATCATGATGTGTATTGATAAATTAAGCAAACCTGCTTTCTAAAGTATAACAAAAGTTTCAGTACCTTATCTGTTGCCATTAACACCAAGTTATTAGAAAATAGGAACTAATATAATAAATTACCTTGCACATCAAATAAGATAAGACTTTGCCTCCAATGCTAAATGGGGCAGTGGTGAACAGGTGGTATCTACTTGAGAAGTGCAACTAATAGAAGCATCTCGATTGGATTTTCATTTAAATAAAGTCACAAAGTTATGAGTAATGAGACCAGAGACAAATATGACATGGATCAATCAAAGTGGGCACCTAAATCAGTTTTCGACTATGATGTTTGTAATACACCTCTGGTATAAATATATTTGAAACATTCATTCTCTTATGTTCAATAGGTTTTAGGTTTACAAAGCTCTCCAGGGTGAATCCAATGCATCCCCCTGTCCAGATTTCATTTCAACTCTACAATGCAGAATGGTGCAGTGAAAGGAATGTTAGACCAGGAGCTAGGATTCATGGATTCCAATAATCCTGACAATGTCCCCAAATTAGACCATTACTTTTAGTAAGTCACTTACTTGGTTTTTAGGCTTCAAGAAGATCACCACTAAAATATGGCCCAGCTCTAAGTTTCTATGATCCTACCTAAAGGATTGCACACTATTATGCATAATCCTGTATACTATGGATTCAAATAACACTCATATAAGTTTTGAATGGTTGGTTTCTTACATTATACGTATTTTTCTTGGTTTTAGGGACCAAGACTGGTGTACGTTGGTGTATATTAATATAGTTTCTGTCCTATGCTATAGATTACTTAGACCTTTAAATTAAAGATAGATTTTTTTAAAAATAGCAGAGTCTAATAAAGTTAGTGGTCTGCGCATATGGTAACTACGTGACTGGTATTCATACATAAAATATGCACTTTATATTGCAGTTTAATAAATTTAGTCTAATTCCATCATAGACATAATGGGGCAAAGGAACGCATATTTAATGAACTTCGATAGCAATATATTGATTCATATATATTGATTCATTTGATGAGCAATAGTTAAAGGAGAGTAGTTACCAAGACCATGCTAATGACACATCATTCCACAATCAATGCTTGCAATCTTATAAACATTCTTTTCATCAGATTTCTTTAAGCTAATGATTCTATCTTCTGGCTTTAAGCATGTTAGATATGTTACCCATTACGCCAGAATTATTCTCGTTTCCTTAAATCCAAGCCTCTCCCCTTCCATCCCTCCCTCCTTCCTCCCTACAAATAGGATTCATAAAACATGAAGTAGGAGTGGGAGAAGTGGACTCAGGAAGAGAAGAGTTAACTATTTCTAAGTATACTTGGGAAGTTAATATATATCTTGTCATTCCATTTAACTAATTTTTTTAAACAACATTTTCATTCAAGATATTCAAACATTATAGAATTATTTGGCTATGCAGACATCAGATACAGGGATACTGAATTCTGCCATATTCCTAGTTATAAACAGATTCAGGCTAGGCTCGCCTATTAGCTCAGGTGGTTAGAGCATGGTGCTGGTAACACCAAGGTCCAGGGTTCAATCCCTGTGGTGGCCAAATGCCAAAAAAAAAAATAAGATTCAGGCTAAATATAATCATACTTTTGTACTAACCTCTAATCCATTTTGGCACTTAGTTGGTCATCCCTGATCTACATGTTTTAAAATTGCACAGTTCATTTTTTCCTAAATACAGTAGCTCACAGTTTCTCTTAAATTTTAATAAATAATATATCATACAAACATAATGTATTTCACTGTCATTTTATAAAATGATATTTTGCAAGATAGTTACTCCTTAGGAGCATTCATAACCTAAAGGTACCTAACAGAAACATCCTGAAATAACCTAGACAACTGCTTAAATAATAAGATAATTTAAGAATCGCAGGTGTTTAAGAATCCTCATTAAAAGGGAATGAGATGGGAGTGACAGGATAATTGTGATTTCTTTTATATGTAGTAATATGTAAATATATACTTCATTTCATACAAAACAGAATTTCATAAAAGCTTCGTGTAACTTCTATTTCTATAAATCAAATTATATCTTAAATAAAGTAGTACATGATCAATAAAGTGGTTCTGTGTCAAATTTTGATAAGTCAAAATTACTACATGATTCACATTTTAAGGAAGTAAGATTGTACCATTAACAATTTGTTAGCTCAGTTAGTTAGGGCACAGTGTTACAACACCACGGTCAAGGGTTCGGATTCCCTTACCTGCCAGCCACCAAAAACAACAACAAAAAGAATTTGTTTGAAATGTGTCACGTGTTACATGATATGAGCTACTCCAAGGATCAGCAAGCTACATCTATGGGCTAAATCTAGCCCACTACCTGTTTTGTGAAATAAAGTTTTATCGGAACACAGCCAAACACATTCATTTGCACATTGTCTGGGGCTACTTTCACCCTACAATGGCAGAGTTGAGTAGTTACAACAGAGACTATGGGCACCAAGACCTAAAATATTTACTATCTGCTCTTTACAGTTTGTCAATCCTAACCTATTCCGAGGGTCTCATCATAAAGAAACTTAGAGAAGTCAAAGTCAAGGCACTATTGCTGATAAACACAAATGCTCTTATAAACGGAAAACTAAACAAATTAATAAAAGGCTGTATTAAAATGCCACAGGTATTTAAGCCCCAAAATAGTTAATACTAAAATCAAAACAAATATTTTCCTTCCAATAGTCTTATTATAAAAGTTTCTTCATAAAATGTTATATGTTATAATATAATCATGAAGCTTGTTTTTAAATGTCACTTGTAAAGTTATTTGACTTTTAATCAGATGTTTAACATTTCCATAATGATAACATTTACCAAAAAATGAAACTATTATTGGTAGATCATATTTGATCAGAGCAGTCAAGCAGAAATTATTTTGCACATCAAAAACTCAGACATAAAGGAATGACACACATATTAGTGAATGAGATTTCCTGTCAAGTGTAGTAAACTACATTCTTAAACACAGTGCTTATTTTCCCAACTAAATCTGCTTTTCTCAAAACTGTGTAACTTTGTAATTACTTTGTGTTTGTCCCTATAGTCTCTGCAAAAACAAATTTTGATTACTTTTTTTTTTTACCTTGAGATCACGGTACACAATCTTTCCGGAATGTAGATAGTCCAAGGCAGAGACAATTTCTGCACCATAGAAACGTGTGCGGTCCTCAGAGAACACCCGCTCTCTCGACAAATGGAAAAACAGCTGCAGGGTAAACAGCAGGGACAGGATTGTAATAATTACTGATTTAGTGGGGGAAATTAACACAAACATAAAACACCTCTCATCAGCATATTGTGATGATAGATAGTGTACTCTCAGTGGACACTGAGCACTCTTAGACAGCAGCTGGCTTATCTTTTCCAGGTTTCCAAGGGGAAACTGCGAGCTGTTAAATCAGCGTTTTAATCAATATACCAATCTTGTTTAAGGCATTCTGCTTGCTACCCATTTAACCTTCAGTTATCAGAGGAAAAGTACGCATCAGCAGACAGCATTCCTTCTATCCATACTGCTGCTTCACTCTTTCAGGGACCGGATATTGAAACATTATTGAAGTAAATGAACACAAGCATAGGTGTACTATTTTTACTTAATTATTTGACTTACATTTGATTTCAAAGAAAGGACTGCTGGCTGATCTGCTGAAACTAATTTATGTGAACTTTTTAAATTCTACTGCTGATTCATCATATCTTTAGAAATATGAGGGAACTTCAAAAAGTTCATGAAAAGGCGTGCATTCATTATTTTTTAATTCTACTGTTCCATGAACTTTGAAGTACCCTCATATTTTCAAAGTTCGGATCAACATTTTCTATGGTGAGAAACTTTATGGCTTTAAGTTTTTTATTTATTTTAGTAATCTCAACACGGTCTAAGAAACTTTCATTATTCTTGTCAGAGTTCTCAAGGTATATTCTATTTTCAATAATAATAACTATGATGCAAACCTTTTCTCATATAATCACTTAAAACTACAAGCACATCCATTTCCTACTCAATAGTTAAAAGACATACCATTCAACTGTGAACAAATACTTATTGAATGTTTACTGTGTGACCAAGGACCCAGCTCTCCATTTAGGCCAGCTCTCCACATAAGAAACTACAAATCTCATCTCTCAGGTAGACAGTACACATGAAGAATGAACAGGTTCCAGGCACTATGAGTTGGCTATTGACCTTGGTTGTACTATTTCAATGTATTGAGTACATTGCCAGATATCGTAGTAGATACTCAATACGTGTCAGTGATTAAAGAAATAAGCCAGACAATCTTGACTGCAAGATCGGAAATTAACTACTCCTTCACATGGATCACTGACTCAATGCTTCTACAAAATTGGTAAGAATTATGGTTACATAAGATGTGTTCCATGCACACCAAATCATAACTTCAGGTAACATAAAACAGGTCACCTAGAGCTTCCTTCCTTCCCTTTCCCACCCCTGCCTCTACTTAACAGTCTATTACTGTTTTAAGATAAACCTGATGCATGTTCCATTGGCCTAGTAAAAAAAGAACAAAGAAAGGGGAGGGAGGGAGGGAGGGGGGAGAAAGGCGGGGGGAGAATGTCATCTAATTATTGCCACAAAAAAAAAAAAAAAACACCCTGGCACAACATTAATTATATTAAAACTAAAATATCCAGCAGATAGTCTCTAAACTTTAATGCTGTCTATGATACTGTCATTTTATCAAATCTAAGAAAGTTGTTAATTAAAACTATAACATACCATCTACTTTAAAAGGCATTCTGATTGCAGAAATATTAAATGTCTTACAAATGATAAAATACCGTATGCCAAAAATCAAATCTACTCATGAATATTTTTAAAATTTCATTCATTCTATATAGGCATATATATATTATTAATGCATTACCATCCAAACAAGGATGGGAGCTGAAAGAAGCACAGACCATTGATAAAACCATTCTGAAAAATTTCCAAGTTAAAATAATTTCTAATGCCATGCATTATACAACGTATCATTAACTTTGATGAGGGAGCCCCTGTAGAGTTACGGTAGTCTCCTAATGGGATGACAACAGTGATTAGGTTTCTAAATTTCCTTAAATGAATGTCAAGCCTACTACCTGCTCATCTACTTTACCAAAGATATGGCTCCTCTTTAAATGAATATAATATATGCAGTATTCTAGATCTTTATTTAGACCATATATGTTCAATTTGTCTGCCAGCCAGTTTCTATAAAAATATCAGCTAAAAAAATTGTATTTAAGGGAAAAAATTTATTTCTCAGCCCGCTGCCATCTGATTCTACCCTTGCTACTTTATGGAACCTATTCTTGTTAAGACGACCAACAACCTCTTCCTTGCCGAACCCTGTGGTCTATTTATAGTCTGCTCTTTTTTTCCTGTGCTGGAGACTAGAACAACACCTACTGCCCTCTTTTTCTTCAAACATGTCCCTTAGCTTTGGTAATACAACTCTCTCATGATTTTCTTCCTAACTGTCTGAATGGTTTCTCTCAGTTTCCACCTTGGCTATGAACCAACTTTTCAATTCAGTATTCATTTAGTGAGCATTAATTATTTTAAAGTCACTGTGCTGGACACTGGGAAGGGAAAAAGAAGGAATACAGCAGTGATTCAGACACAATCTCTCAGCTTACAGCACTGATCGTGGTGATGGTATCACGAGTATATACTTACCTCCAAACTCATCAAGTTGTATGCATTACATACATGCAGATTTTTGTATATTACTTGTACCTCAATAAAGCAGTTTTTTAAAGAAGACATAAACCCTGCCATTAAGGAATTCTAACTCAATGAAGGAGACACATGTGTAGATAATAAACAACAGGGCTAAGATAAGATTTGTAACTCAGATGGTTAAAATGCTTTGGAGGCAAAGACTAATTAATGTGTACTGAGATGATCTGGGGAGACTTCACAGATAAGGTAATACTTCACTTAAGTTTTGAAGAATGAGATTTTTCACAAATGGAAAATGTAAGGGAATAATAATATAAACAATTACAAAAGATTGTTACCCAAGTTTTCTCTCTCAGTATTTCTAATACAGCCTAGCATAGTACCTACGCATAATAATTAATAAACATTTGTAGAAAGCATTAATTATGAAGAGAAAAACCAGCAGTGGCTGGAAACACATGCAGAGGACTCACATAGCTGAAGAATCATACTCCTTCAATGACAGGACTCAAGCAAAAAAAAAGATGTGCCAAATTGTTTAGGTCCTATATTGTCATGATATGAGTCTGAATTTTATCCTGTTCATAAGGAGTATCAAAGGATTAGGGGTTAAAAAATTAGCATAATTCTAAAAAGACAATCCTGGCAGCAACTGGAGAATCAATTAAAAAGATCATGGACTGGGCCGGCCCGGTGGCGCACTGGATAGTGCGCTGCTTGGGAAGCGCGGCGGCGCTCCAGTTAGACTAGCTATAATCAAAAAGAGAAGAACAAATGCCAGAGAGAAGAGAGAGAAAGGGGGAACCTTCTGCACTGCTGGTGGCACTGCAAGTTAGTATAGCCACTATGGAAAACAATATGGAAGTTCCTTAAATAACTACAGAGATAACTACCTTCCAATCCAGCAATCCCTCTACTGGGCATATTTCCGAAGAAGTGGAAACCATCATGTTGAAGGCATACCTGCACGCCCACGTTTATCGCAACTTTATTTACAATAGCCAGGCTATGAAACCAACCTAAATGTCCATCGATGGAATGACTGGGTAAGGAAAATGTGGTATATATACACAATGAAATACTACTTAGCCATAAAAAAGAATGAAATTCTGCCATTCACAGCAACATGGATGAACCTAGAGAAAATTATGCTAAGTGAAACAACCCAGGAGCAGAAAGAGAAATATCTCATGTCCTCTTTCATAAGAGGGAACTGAATTCATAAATAAATAAACAATAAAAAAGAGAGAAGGAAAGAAACAACAATCAAAATAATACATGAAACTCTTAGAAGGAGAGAGCAGAACTGTGTTTTCTAGAAGTGGAAAAGGAGAGCAGGGAGTGGGGGAGAGGAGGGTTAATGAGAAATTGGTTAATGGACACAAAGAATGATTATAGACTGTAATGATCAATAAGCAAACTATCCTGAGTTGACCATCACACATTGTACAAAACAATCAATAGTCAACTCTGTACCCCACAAATATGTATAATTTAAAAAAAGAAAAAAAGAAATCAGGCAGCCAGAACACAGGTTGTTTTACATTATAAAACTGTAACATAGGATAACTAGTTGGCAATACAGAATAAAATGTATGGAAAAATTACTATTTAAAAAATCATGCCACAATAACTGCTTAACTCTGGAGAAAAATAAAATTCTATTTCCATCTCACATCATAAAATAAATTTTAGATGTACTTAATAGTGAAATATAAAATGAGACTAATTAAAAACTAGAAAATATAAACAAATAGTTATCTGATCTCATGAAGTTTCCTAAGAGAAAGCATAAGAGAAATGGAACAAATCATAAAAGAAAAATCTAGAACTGACCACATAAAATAGCAAAAAAAAAGAATATTAATAACAAATATGACAAAGTTCATGTCCTTATTATGTAAAAAAAATCATATGAAAAATCAAAAGAGTAAATCACAAAGAAAAAACTGGTAAAGGATGCATAAAATTTACATAATAGGAATATAAATTATTAAAGTACATAAAAACATGCCACTTTAAAATAATCACTGTACTAGAGACAAAAACTTGAAAAGGAATATTTCTTTTTTTTTTTTTTTGGCAGCTGGCTTGTACAGTGATCTAAACCCTTGACCTTGGTGTATGAATAATTTTTAATCCATGAGGAAACAGCACTGCCATTGAAAGTGTGGTGAGGTAAGCATCTTCATACATTGCTGACTGGTATATAAAAAGGTAAAACAGTAAAATTCTTTGCAAAACAATTTGTCCATAGAAACCAAGATAACTTTTAAAGTTCAGTAATTCCTCTTCGAGAATTTGTTTTAAAAAAGGAAATTTATCATTCTATAGAAGTATAAACAATGACGAAAATGTGAAGACCATGTTGAAGAAAAATAAAACTAGATTTTTTTATCTCATGCCACAACAAAATAAACTTCAGAAATAATTAATAGTTAATAAAAAATAGGAAACTAATTTTAAAAATTAGAAAATATGAGGAAAAAGTCCATGTAATCAGACTTACCCAACTGCCCGAAACAATGGACAGAGACATATACAACAACAGAAAATAAAAACTGGGGAAACTATACAACAGAAGCACTGGATGCAGGCAGTGCAGGACCATAATGCCTGTGAGAACAGACAAATGATGTGAGACCTGCAATTATCCTCCTTCTGCCTGCCGGCACTTTCTGGAACAGTATTCAGGAAGAA